TTAAAGAATAATAGAACTTTTTAAACGGGAAATAAAATTCATATCAGACTCCGCCTCATCACCGAATTTCTTTAAATAAAACTGCTTTGATTTCTTGCTCATTTTCTGAATTTCGAACTTTTAATTATTTCTTAGGTATAAAGCAAAATATGAGGGCTAACTTTTTAAACTAACAATCCTCCAACTTGAAATGTATATACAAAACATTTCCAGAGTTTTCTATCACTTCCAGTCGGTGCCACATTCTAAATGTGAGACAAAACAGGAAATGGAAAAATATGGTGAACGAATTTCTTTACACAACATAAAACAAATATACCATAATTTGGAACTACGATAATATTGGTTTTGTTTAATGGATCTCACGATTGTTTGTTTGTCAAACACACAGCTACACAACGAACTATCTATGCGCTGCTTACCGCAAGTATCGAAACACTATTTTTAGTATTATAAGACCCCAGACCTACTGCTGAACCACTAAGGTGGGCGGATCTGAGGATATTATTCATATAACATGTTGAATAAATCTTACTTACGTATTTAAACTTATGAAACTCATCTGCAAAAAAAATAAAAAAATACATATTTGTAACAGAAAGACAACTTTTATTTCTATTGCTTTAGGAATAACGTTTGGAGTGGTATTTCATTTCATATTGTTTAAATAGTGGGAAAGGAGTGAAGTCTTTAAATAGGGTTTATTTGAAGTGACTCATATAATTGTTACACAACGCGGCAACGTATTTGTAATGTTGAATCCGATGATAATCTTGGTTTTATTTATTTCATTTCGTATTGTATAAATAGGGTAAGAAAATTGAATGTATTAAGTAGTGTTTATTTGAAGTGACTCATATAAATATTATGTGGTAAAATATTTGTTAATACTACATCTGATTATAACTGTGGTTCGATTTTGTACTTCAAGTTTGGAGTAGGAAATATTTTTTGATAGTTAAATCAAATGTTATTATCTGGATAAGATCATCGGCGATTGCGTAAAAGTAATTTATTTCGTTCAATATCGTCGAAACGACAACGGCAGAAATCTAAATCTTTGGCACATTGTCGTGAAAGGTTTTTGAAAAGCCCTACTCAGATATTTCATTTTTCTGAAACGGCCACAGAATGAACATGAACTCAGGCAGTTTCTGACGAGTTTCTACAATTGCATGGTACAGACTTTTATTTCGAATTGGTATTTCAAAATGGCCCTCAAAAGAAAATTCTACAAAAAAAATATCCTAAAGATATCCCAAGAAGGGTAGTTAACCCTTTCTAATGTATTTCGCTTTGTAATTTCCAAACAAAATAGCAGTGTAAGACTAGAGGAAAGGTAGTTAGTCATCACCACCCACCGCCAACTTTTGGGCTACTCTTTTACCAACGAATAGTGGGATTGACCGCCACTTTATAACGCCCCCACGGCTGAAAGGGCGAGCATGTTTGTGGGACGGGAATTCAAACCCGCGACCCGCAGATTGTGAGTCGAGCTCCCTAACCACCTGGTCATGCCGGGCCTGTTCGCCTTGCTATCCTTATAAACATTAGAGTACCAGATGTAATAAATGATGTAACAATTCGTATTTTTCTCAATTCTAAATCATATAAAACAAACAGCAATACTAGGAAAATGTAATAATTAAGTAAGCAAGTTGAGAAGTTAAGCAGAACTAGATAATACATAAAATAATAAAAACTGAATAGCATTAAAATATTATTCGCGTGACGATCAATACTTAATAGTAATAGGCTAAAGAAAAAATAACTCGTCTTATACCTTCACATTATTGACAAAGTAATAACAACTGACATCGTATCAACATTAGTAACAGCACAACAGTCTGTCATTTACAACAATGAACAATAAAACCTTCGTTCCTGAACAAGTAGAAAACATGCTGAAGAATAACAGACCCCCTAAAAACAAATCTAGAAAGAAACAAAAAATGGCCTTAAAAACTACGATAAGCTATCCAAGACCTTTAGTCAGATGAATGAAGTTTTTGTAAAAACGTAAAAAATAAAACTGTAGAAAGCTTTATAGACGGTTGATTTTCTAGGAAACCTAAAATTACTCAGAAATATACATGTCAAAGCATAGTAAAAAAACATAACTCAGTTTAATACTTCGTCTTCGATTCTATGTTTACCTGTATTACATAACCCAGAAAATCCTCTCTGACTCATGATATAATACAGATATTTAGCTACGACTACTTCAAATATTAAATATACATTACTACTGATGTTTGATTTACCTCTTTTTTTTACAAAGAGAAGGATTAATATAAACACAAAACCACGCCTACAGAAGATGACACATTTATATCATAAAACAACACATACAGAATGATAGCATATTCATATCCTAAAGCTATGCCTACAGAAAAATGGAACATTCAAATTGAGTGCTTAACTAACTTTACACAAAGAACATCTGCTAGCAACAAAATGTTTGTACAATAAGACATTACATCACATTTTGGGGTTCCAAGATTATATATTTCTGAAATAATTTTAAAATGACGTTTCAATCAGCTTCCAAAAGCGCCACGTGTTTGGACAAAATATGTTGATGATGTGTTTACTATAACTTATTGTATTTTGTATCTATGACAAAGCTTCTGAGGTTATCTGTCGTCGTCCTTAATTTTGAACAACTGACCAGAAATAAGGCAGCCAGTCAACAGCACCCTACGACCACCCATCCACCCTAAGGGATATATTGTGATTCTTATAACCCACCCAAAGTTTGAAGTGCAGGAACAATTTGTGATTTTGCATGGATTCGAACCGTGCTCTCTAACTCCGAAATCCAGAGCTCTACAACAGGGACAACCCACGCGCTGTTTACTATCATTTGCACCGAAGAATGCAAACATATTTCTGGATCATTTAAAACAGTCATCCAATTGAAATATAAAATTGAGAAAGACAAATAACTAGTTTTTTAGGAGTTAAAATTACATGTAGTAATAATGGGAAAATTAAAGGCGAACAAATATCAAAATCCCACAAACACGAATCTGTGCTTAAACATCTTTTGAATTAATCCATTATCTGTTAACATACGTTTAATATACACTCTCACTAAACGAGCTTTTGGATTTTGTTCAAATACATCTCTTAAAAAAAACAGCTAAACATGTCATTTCTAAAGCGAAGTGTATAATTTATCACTCTCACTAGAAATACTCTGGTTAACTTCATAATTTGCTTTTCACATTATTTCAGTGTTCCTGATGTTTTTGATACAACGTATAATTATGATAAATGCAAGTTCTCGCGTCAGTTTTTATGTCTAGAACAATAACATAACTATTGGAAACATAGCGGACCACAGAAAAAGTCATGACATCACTGTTGGCCACGCTAATACGTGTTAAGATTATTTATTCATCGCTATGTGGAGCAGGTGTTCGAATGACTGAACAGTTTTTGATAACTCAGCTGATTATGAAACTGCATGATCACCAAAACGTTTATTTTCACGTTTGATTAACTCTTTAAAAATTAGTTTAATATGTTCAATCGCCTGCTGTTGTTACTAAAATTGTGTTTTTAATTCGTCTCGGTAAACACTCACATTTAACTTTTTAATAGTTATGGATTTAAATATGATGCAAAAAAAAAACGAACAAAACAGAATATTTATTAACCTCAGACATATAGCGATAAAAAGCCAACTTAAATCAAATTTTTAAATTAATAATGTACATTTTTTAAACTATTCGCTATTGAACTGGAAGATATTTTTCATAAACAGCTTTATTCATTCGCATGTATATTACAATAATTTATTATTTCGCAAACAGAAATCTGTGAAAATAAAAATCCATGTAACTACGTTATTTTCTAGTGCCTGTAACAAACACCAAGTGAACAATAACAAACAAAAGAAACGCTCGCTGACACCCTGCGTCTGACAGAGGAATCCACAGGTGTTAATTGAGCTACAGCCGAATTCATTTCTTTATCGTTATATGTAAATTACATCAGATTGAAAGAGAAATCCTCCGACAAAAGTTGCGCTACAGGTACTGTTACTAAAGGCAGCTAAGATAACTTGTGTGTGTGTTTATAATTAAGCACAAAGCACATGGGTTATCTGTTCTCTGCCCACCACCGTTATCAAAACCCATCTTCTAGTGTTGTAACTCCGAAGACATATCGTTGTGCCACTGAGGTGCACTAAGATAATCTCATGTGACGGATTTGTTATTATATATTTATTTCAATATCAACGTTTGTTTAGATTACGTTTATATTTAGAAATATGCCTAGCTTATAATGGTAAATATGTATTGCGAATCTCCCGCATATTCTCCAAAGTTGTAGATAATTCTCGAGAGTAAGAATCAAAGATATATCTATGTACGTAAACGCTTAAATGTAGCTTTGTATTGTAACGTAATCTGAATTTTCTAAAAAGCCTCCACACGCCTATAAATATAACCAACGCGCCGCGCCAAAAAAAGGGTAATCT